AGGGATAAACACTGGCTCCACTGTTAGAGGTCCCATAGACTGCCCTGGTGTCCTAGCTGGCACCCACATTCAGAGGGCTCGTGCTCTGGCTAGGTCAGGTCAACTGTTAATTCGGGTTTCTCAAGGAGTCATGTTTTTATTTTAAATTTATTTTTAAGTTGTTTTGAGACAGGGTCACATGTAGCTTTGTGTGAGCTCACTATGTAACTGAGGTTGATTTTTGAATTCCTGATCCTCCTGCCTCCATCTCCCAAGTGCTGGGATTATAAGTATATAGTACTAGGCCCATAGGAGTCAAGTTTTTGCAGGGCATGGTGGAGTACACCTTTTATCCCAGCCCTTGGGAAGCAGAGGCAGACAGATCTCTATGAGTTAGAGGCTAGCCAAGTCTACATCATGAATTCCAGCCCATCCAGGACTACATAGTGAGACCCTATTGCAAAATTTTTTTTAATTATTGGGGCATCAAGTGTCCAACAGAAAAAGTGTCAATGAATGAATGAACATATGAAAAACAGCACCAGGAGGAAGAAGATCTGCCCCCTCAGACGGGGAGGAGGAAAGGGCTTTGTCAGGGCAGAAATCTGTTGTGCTTCACCTGGTGCTTGGTTGTGGGTTGGTTCTCGTTGTTTTCCCCTGTCAAATGGCAATTCGGGCACACCCTAGAGTGTGGGAGTGGAAACTTCAGATGCTTAGTATAGGTCATAAAATCCGGTGTCAGGCTGCCTCTACTCCCCTGCCAACATCGGTGGGTACTGAGGGGTACATGTTCAGCAAGGGGCCACTGCAGCTGTTCCTGATGTGTTCTGCCATTCCCAGGTGCCATGCTACTCCTACGGGCAGAAGCTGTCCAAACTGGCCATCCTGAGGATCGCCTGTAACTACATCCTGTCCCTGGCGCGGCTGGCTGACCTGGACTACAGCGCCGACCACAGCAACCTCAGTTTCTCCGAGTGTGTGCAGCGCTGCACCCGCACCCTGCAGGCGGAAGGCCGTGCCAAGAAGCGTAAGGTATGCACCTGCATGCAGGCAGGCAGCAACCTTAGGGGAGGTGGGGACAGTAAGGAGGGATACCCTGTACATGCCCAGGATTCCTGGGCAGCCGGAGAGATCAGTCTCCTGGAATGTTCCAGCAGACACCTCAGATTCAGGGATTTTCACATCCCTGGGATCATGGGTAGGATCGTGACTATACAGATGCCGGGTGACCTTGGATAGACAGCCTGAAGTCTCTGGGTTTGGGTTTGCTTGTTGCTTAAATGAAGTCAATGGTCCATCTTTGAAGCCCTTCCTGCTCTTGTGTGATCTGAGGCCTAATTATCCACGTGGCCCGACAGATGTTCTATCAGGATGAGGTCTACTCTGAATAGGTGGCAACTCAGGAGATGCCTTCTGCAAGTTTGGGGAATGTGGTTTTGTCTAGGGAGTGATAAGAAATTGCGGGTGAGGGCAGATGATACCTGTTCATTCATTATTTCCTTTATTCATTTTGGAGCAATTCACTGAGCAGGTTGGATAGAGGTATGAACTTCTTATACCCCTTCTTATAGTGATAGGGTGGTCAGAACCATATCCCTGACCTGAGACTGTGGCCTATTCTGGGAGAGACCAGATGGAAGAGTCACAGAGTGATTGTTCTGCCCAAGAGAGCTGGGCATAGCATCTTATTGGAAGTGGCATTTGAGCTGGGAACAGTTAAAAGGCCACCAGGCAGATGAAACAGTGGACAGCACTGGAGGCAGAGAAGACAGCCTGTACTAAACCTGGCACATTTAAAGAAATCTGTGGAGGAGGAAGGGGGTTGGGCACAACCATAGTTTCCTACTTGCCTGATGCCTCAGGATAATATCCAGTCAGGGGCCAGTACTTAGTGGAGTTTCTGTAGCTGTCTGGGTCTCTGTTCCCCTGTCATGCATGGAGAAAGACAGAGAGTGGGACCCAGTCTGTCTGTGAGATGCTCTTGAGGTCCTGGGAACAAGAGCCAGGACTCTGGTGTACTTCATCCAATCCCCTGCGTCCATCCTTTTGGCCTGCCCCTCCCCCAGGCTCTTTTTAGGTAGGGAACCTATGGCTTGCCCTG